AATGGTGTCAGGTGGCGTGTAAAAAGTCTCTCATAAATCACCAATTAAGCACGAAGGAAATTTTGTCTTGCTTGTTCCTCACACTGTGGTATCAGCGTTGCTGGTAATTTCCATCCGTTTCAGTCGGCCGAAAAGAAAGCGTTTTATGTTATTCACTTCTCAATGCGTCACTTTGGCACTGTTGACTCAGTAAACGACCCACGAGACAGAATTATCATCTTCAAGCTAAATTCGGCAGTTCCTCCGACTGAACGCTTTTTCTCGCATCTATTTTCACTTTTTCTCGACGATTTTTTGTATCCGTAATGGTGCTTTCCCGCAGTGCCGAATCTTGAATTTTTTCGAGGCGGGATAGAAATTAGAGCCGCTGCTCCTTTCCCCTTTATTCACCTTTAAGTTTCTTTATGAAGTTCCGTCTTTTTTCGAAAAACCCGAGTAATTTTAGATTGAATTTGAAACAGTACAAAAAATCCAGTTTTAGTCTAAGAAATTCTTTATTACTTTTTTTACCACAAAGGAAAGACACAAGCCATAAGTTGCGTACTTAAATCCAACCACTAACGCAAATATACTTCAAAGTCAGCAACGAAGATTAAAATTTTATTCTGCAATATTTTTGCTCTCGTCATAATTAGTTTGATGTGCAATTTGACATTCGGAAAAAAAGCTCCGCAGATCGCAGCAGCTACTGCTGTCGAAAAGGACAAAAAAAAAACGAAAGAATGTTTATATCTAAATCTTGAAGGGACTGTATTCCTCTTCAATGTGCTGCCCTAGTTGTCGCCCAGACTCTGGCTTACCCGGCTTCTCTGAATCCGGTACTGGTGCCCCGTTCCTAGATACCGGTGAAAGTTTTGAAGCACAGATATGCTGCTGTTTCGTTAAAGCAGCATGCAAATTTTATAGATTTCATCAATAAATTGAGGATAAAAGGTAACAAATATAAAACTCAGGCTGGAATGCACCAGTCTCTCCGGTGCGATCATGCGTTTTTGCACTAAACTCGCAGATCACTATTAGCAAGAATGATCCCTACGC